CTTGGCCCAGGGAGATGGCGCGCCCCCCCTCCCCCGCCCGCCCGCTCGCCTCGATCTTCCTCCTCCCCTCGCTCCTCTGACGGCGCCCACAGGCGCTCTCCGCCGGCCCGGACCTGCGCATTCACACCTGCGCAGGGCCCAGGCCCGCCGCCCTCCCTCCCCCCCTGCCGATCCCCTTCCAGCTGAGCTGGCGGTCCCTGCTCTGGCGCTGGTTTCGCCTGGGCGCCTTCCTCAGCTTCTGCTGCCTCGCCGGCTTCTTCTTCTTTTCGGTCTCCTGCTGGTCGGCCTGGCTGGCAGTCCGCCCGCTGATCGCCCACACCGCGTCGCACATCTGCCTCAGTGCCTCGAGTGCCGCCGCCGCCGCCGCCGCCGCCGCCGCCGCCGCCGCCACCACCACCACCACCACTGCCACCACCTCCCCCGGCCAGTCGCTGCTCCACCTCTTTCAGTCGCTGCTGCGCTTCTTCGTCCCGCGCTTCATCCCCCTGCCACCCGGGCTGCACCTGCTGTCAAGGCTCGGGCTCTTTGTCTTCCAGCCGGTGCTCTCCTCCTGTGACCGGGTGCTGGACCTGCTTTCTGGGCTTCCCCTGGTCCTCCCATCCTCGGGCTCGCCCTCGCCCTCGCCCTCGCCCTCGCCGCCGGCCTCCCTGTCCCCCGTCGGCGCGTCGGGGCTGGCCCGTTCATTCCCGGATCTCCGGTCCTGGTTCCGGCTCGCCCCCGCCACCGGCGCCCCGGCTCCGACCGTCGCCGACTCCATCTCGGCCGGGCCGTTTGACGCGGTTTTCCACCTGTTCACCGGCCCGGCAGCCGGCTCGACCTTCGGCGGCAGCCTCCTCACCTGGCCGCGCCTGGTGCTGGCCTTCGCCCGGGCAACCCTCGGCTGGGCCTCGCCCGCGGGTCTTCTCGCATCGCGGCAGCCCGGCCACTGGGCTGACTGGCTGATCGGGGCGCTTGCCCTGCTGGTGCTGGCCCTTCGCATCATGTGGATCCTCGGGAGCCTGGCCCTGGCGCTGTTGTTTGTCCTGGCGCCGGCCGCCTGCGTGGTGGGCTTCCTGGCCTGGGAGCTCTTCCTCATCGGGCTGGTGCTGACGGACACCCTGCTCGGGCGCTTTCTCCAAGTGTGGGACCGCCTGCCGCGATGGCTGCGCGTGGCCCTGCGCTATGGCTGGCGGTCGTCCTTCCTCGGGGTCACGCGCCTGGTGCTGGTGCTGGATGTGGCCGCCCGGCTGCTGCTGCGCCTGGTGCCGTTGATCGGCTCCGGACCACCTTCCTCGCGCTTCCACACCTGGTCCCTGGTGAATGCCTGCGACGCCTCCTTCGAGGGGTTTGACGTGGAGTTCCTCGGGCCGGGCTTCGACCCGGCCGGCGAGGAGGACTTCGGCGGCCCGGAGCGCTCGCTGGCCATGGCCCTGGCATCCAAGCTGGCCTACGAGTCGCCGACGGTCATGGCCGCCGTGGCCGGCCCCGGGGGCTTCGGCTTCCAGCGGGTGGACCCCTTCAGTGTCGGCGGCCGCGAGGCCATCCGCGGGTATGTGGCCACCGATCGCCTGGCCACCGGGGGCATGGTGACACTCCTGGTCTTTGGCGGCACCCAGCCCCTGGATTTGCGGCACATTCTGGCCGACATCCAGAGCAATCTCAGCCACTTCCGTCTGGGGACGGATGCCGGCCCGGCGGCGCCGGGGTTCGTCTCGACGGTGGCCGCCGCGGCCGCCACCGCGGCTGCTGCCGCCGGCCGCCCCGACGCCCCGGCGGACACCTCGCCGATGGCCCTGGCGCCGGTCCTGTCGCCCGGGGCTCTGGTTGGCACGGTGGCCGGCGGGGTGGTCCTGCCCGGGTCCACGGCCGGCGACCTGATTGCCATGTCCTTCGAGCCGCTCCAGGCATCGCTCTTCATGTCCGGCTCCATGCACCTCATGTCCCATGCGTCTGGGCCGCTTTCGGCCGAGCCCTCGCTCCATGGGCCGGCCGGTGGCGCCGGGGCCGAGGAAACTCCCGGTGCCGGGGCCGGCGCCGCCGGATCCGGCGCCCTCTCGCCCGGCCTCGGCCCGGGCCCGGGGCCGGCCGCGTCTCCTGCCTTCTGGCCATTGGCGCCGGACGCCTCGACCGTCGAGGCCGCGGCGGTTGCCGGGGTGCCCCCCGGTCCGGAGCGCCGGCAGGCCCTCTATCAGGCCGGGCTCGGGCACGTGCACTATGGCTTTGGCCGGGCTCTCGGCATCTTGCAGTCGGCTCTGGAGCGGCGTCCGCTGCCGGGCGCCGCCGCCAGCCCGAGCCACCCGGCCGATGCCGGGCCGCCGGCCGACGACGACTGGTATGCCGATGCCTCGCGCTCCGGGCATCTGGCCGGGCCGAATGCGGCCGCCTCGCCACCCGAGGCTGTCCTGGCCCCGGTGCATGATCTGTCGGTGACCGGGGCTGGGGGGGGCCTGCGGGCGCGACGCCTGGCCACCCGTGGCGGCGCCGGCACCCCGGGCGCATCGGCCTGCCCGCCGGCCGGGCCCGGGCTGGCTGGGCCGCGTGAGTCGGCTCGCTCGGCGGCATCCCCCCCGGCGCCGGCTTCCGAGGGCGAGGCCATTGTGCCGGCACCGGCTCCCCCGGGGTCCGGGCTGACACTGCCGTTGCTGCTCAATAGCCTGGCCAACATCCTGGTTAGCCCGGTGTTTGTGGCCGCCAGTGTCGGGCGCTTGGTGGCCGGCTGGGCGGCTGGGCGCATTGGCCGCTGGCTGCCGGCCGGCATGGCCGGCGCACGCCCCGGCCCCGGCCCCGGCCCCGGCCCCGGCCCCGGCCCAAGCCGGTCCCCGAGCAGCCTGTCCTCCATGTCCTCCTCGGCCGGGGCCGCCGGCGCGGCACGTGGGGGCTCCTCCCGGCGGCGCCTGCTCCCGGGGCTGGTCATGGGCCTGTTGCTGCCGCTGCGCGTGGGCCTGGCACTGGGGGTGCTGCTGCTGCGCCTGGCCGCCGGCACCGGCGGCCTGCTGGTCCGATTGCTGGCGGCCGCCGCGGCGGTGGTTCTGTCCCGGCCGCCGGAGCACGGGGCCCACGTCGCTCCGGCCGGCATCCACTGGTTCCTCGGGCGGCTGTTCCGATCGGCGGCCAGCACGCCGGACGAGCCGGACCACTGTGCCGCCAGCGCCGCGGGCCGGGGCCGCGCGGGCGGCCAAGCAGGCGGCGGCTCTGGCCCCGGGGCCGGCGGCCGGCCCGGCGGCCCGCATGGCGGCGGCCCCTCCGACGAGCCGGCCACCCTCTACCATGAGGTGATCTCCCTGCTGCTGGAGCATGGGGCCCTGACGGTGGACCCGCTGTCCGGGGCCATTGTCCGGCCGGCCGCTCCGTCGACCACCGCCTCCACCACCGGGGCCTGCTCGCCCGAGACCTCGGCCGAGGCCGAGGGGCTGGCCTCGCCGGGGCACGGGCCGGGCCGGGCCGGCACCCCCGCTGCTGGCCCCGGGCAGCATCGGCTCTTCATCTGCGGGCATAGCCTCGGCGCCGCGCTGGCCACCCTCTTCTCGGTGTCCCTTTGCCTGGACCCGGCGCTGGACGGGACGGACGCCGGGGCCACCAGTCCGCCGGCCGAGCCCGAGCACCCCCCCGCCCCCGAGGCGGACATCTTTCCCCTGTCGGCGTGGGGCCGGGCCCGGCTGCCGGATGGGGTCTACACCTATGGGGCCCCGCGTGTCGGGGACACCAAGTTCGCCGAGGCGGTGCCCTTCGACCTGGTGGCGCGGATGTGGCGCTTTGTCCATGAGAACGACGCCATCCCCAATGTGCCGACCGTCATCCCGGACTGGCTGGTCACGCGGAATTTGGTCGAGCAGCACTTCCTCTTCCGGACCTTCTCCGGCCGGTCGTCCGACGGCCAGGGATACTGCCATGTCAGTCGCGGCATTGTCATGAACATGTCCGGCCTGCTGCGCCTCGAGGAGGAGGAGGAGGAGGACGACGACGACGACGATGATGGCGAGCATGGTGAGACACATCATGGGAGCGGTGGCCATTGTGCCGGCGGCCCGGGCGGGGGCAAGGCAGCCGCCACCGGTGCGTCTGTGGCCGCGGCCTCGCCCCCGTCGCCCCCGCCGACGCCGCCGAGCGAGGATGCCGCCGGGTCGGGCCCGGGCCCGGGCCCGGACCCGGGCCCCCCGGGCCCGACGCCCCCTTCGCGCGCGGTGCACGCCGCTCGGTCGCGATTCCGTCGTCTCCGGCAGCAGGGTGCCAACCGGGGCTTCTCCCTGTACCAGGTCCTGCGGAAGCTCCTGTTTGATGTGCTCATCCCGGTTCTGCCGCAGATCCTCATGCCCGGGTACTACATCATGAAGAAGACCCTCCGGGCGCTGCAGATGTCCTGGTCCTACCGGGAGTCCCTGCTCCGGGCGTTCATCCGCATCGCCACGCCGGAGAGCTTCAACCACCTGCCGTGCGACTATGTCCGGTCGCTGGAGCGCGCGATCGCCCTTCGGCAGTCGACGACCGGTGCACCGGCAGCTGGCATCTGACCCCTCGTCCTGTGCGCCGCCCGGGGCCCGGCTGAGTGGGTCCCCTCCCCTTGCCTGCCCCCCCCCCCCCGGGGGGCAAGCGCCATGCGCATGACCTCCCTTGGCCCTGCGCCCTTGCTCCCCTCCCGTTCCCTATCTCGCCCCTCGCCCGGGGGGTGTGCCTCCCATATGTCCTTGTATCGCGTGCTGACGGGCGTGCGAGTGTTGCCTTGCCATCGTCGCACCGTCCTTTTGTCCAGCCGTGCCCCTGTGTGCCGCCCTGCGCGCGCACGCATGTGTTCGACACGCGCCGTGCAATACTACGGCTCCCTATCCGAAGGCCCTGCCAAGGGCACCCCGTGTTTTCCCCCCTCCGTCGCATTAGTTGAACTGAAAACTGCCTAACGTGCCAACTAAGCGCTCGGTTTAGCGGGGGGGGAGGGAGGGGGGGGGGGGGGGTGGGGGCGACACAAAGGGGGCAGGGGAAGGGGAGGGGGGGGGGGGGGGCGAGGCATGGAGCCACAGCGCAGGAGGCCGCCACCTACGAGGAAGCCGCCGGGGCCACAAATCTAGAGATAACCAGCCTGCACTCCTGGAAGAAGCCAACGAGGAAGCCGATCTGCAAGTGCTCGCTGCATCCCTGCGCCAGTGAGTACCTGCAGGGCGTGGGGGAGGGGGAGAGGGGCGGGGGGTCAGCCTCCAGGACGGCGTATGTGCATGTGGCGTGGCAGCGAGTCAGGCAGCGAGGAGACGCACTCAAGCTCCGAGAGCTGGTCAAGCAGGAAGATGCGCGCCTCCTTGGGGATGTCCAGCTGTGAGGGAAGAGCAACCCGTCAGCGATGCAGGTGCACGGAGGGAGGTCAGCCAGGAAAGACCGAGGAAAGGGCAAAAGAGAGAGAGAGAGAGAGAGAGAGAGAGAGAGAGAGAAAGAGACAGGGAGGGAGTGCGCGCGCCCAACCGGCAGAAGCACGTACGAGCGGAACCAGCGGGTGGATTTCCCGGACAAGGTCCTGCAGCGCGATACCCTTGTTCCGGGTGAGGTCCTCCAAGCCTGTCGGGCGGGCGGGGGGGCGGGCGCGGGCAGGCAGGCGACCCAGGTCCAGAGGTCAGTGGCTGGTGTGGAGAAAGGCGAGGGGAGGAGCAGGGCCGCGGGCCGACGGGCGGGCGAGGGGAGGATGCGCAAGGAGCAAGGCACGCACGGCTGATGGTCCCGACATAGTCCTCATTGAGGAGCCACTTGAAGGCCAGCTCCACGTCATCCGGGTGCGGATGCCCGGTGGTTTGGTAGATGGCCGTGGCGTTGACGGCGCCGGTGTCGGTGCCGCCGCTGGTCGAGGGGTCGGCCTCGTCCGACACGGACGCATGCGCCGCCTGGAGGATGTTCAGGGCGCGGCGCATGTCGCCATGGGTCAGCCGCAGCAGGGCCTGCAACCCGCAGGGGGTCATGCGGACACTGGGCACGGGCCGGCCATCGGGTCAGTGGGGAGTCCTGCATCGAGGAGCCAAGGGGGGAGGGGGGGGGGGAGGCGAAAGGGGCATGGCAACCGGGGCGCACTTCTCCAGAGCGGCGATCTCCTTCACCCGGTCGGAGACCTTCTCCAGGCCCAGGGGGCCGAAGCGCATCCGGGTGCAGCGCGACTGCAGCGCCGGGATCAGGCGCGCCGCATAGTTGCAAATCAACACAAAGCGCACATGCTTGGTGTACTTCTCGATGACTGCACGCACAAAGGCATGCCCCGCGGGAGGGAAGAGGGGGGGAGAGAGGGGCATTAGCTGCATGAGGCATG